AGCAACCTCCAACTCCTGGGCTCAAGCGAGTCTCCTGCCTCAGCCTCCCAAGTAGCTGGGACCACAGGCGCCCGCCACAACGCCCGGCTGTTTTTTGGTTGCAGCCGTCATTGTTGTTTGGCGGGCCCGGGATTCGAACCGGTCACCTCAGGTGTATGTGGCTGGTACCCCAGCCGCTTGAGCCACAGGTGCTGAGCCTCTCCTCCCATTCCTAACTGGCCCCCTCCCTCTGGGACTCTGAAACAAACCCCTCTGAGTTCCAATTCCAACTCTGCACTCCCTAGCTGTGCCATCTGCAGCAAGCCATTTATCCTCTGGGCCTCGGCTTCATCCCCTGCAAAGTGCAGGTGTTAAGGGCACCTACTTCACAGGGTCGTGCAAAGCTGAACAGGTGGACCCCATGCATACAGCACATGCCTGGCACTCCCTCAGTGCTCAGGAAGACCTAATCATTGTCACGTTCTCATTATTTGCCTCCAGGTCCCTGGACACTACAGGTAGGAGCCTCCACGTCCTGGGGCTTGGGTGCTGGATTAAGGGAAGCTCCAGCTCTGCAGCCCAGTTTGGGTCCTGCCTCCTCTGAGACTCACTGGGTATTCTCGGTGCACATCAATGTCAGCAGGCAGGACAGTCATGGAGGGACAGAGGCCGGGACCCTCGCTGGCGCTGGTCCAGAAATGCTGCTGGCTGGAGTTGGCACAGTCCTGCTGCAGGGTGCACCTGGAGCGACACCACAGGGTCAACACCCGGTCAGCTCCTCCTGCCCACCACTGCCCTCCCGGCAGCCACGACTGCTGTTGCTGTCCCCTCACCGTGTCTCCAGGGCGCACCATCCACAGTAGGCGTCCGCCGCACCCACACAGTCCCCACAGGTGGCGTACACATTGCAAGCAGCAACCTTCACCCTGGCCATCTGGGAGCAGAGGCAAGGGCCCAGCTGAATGGGGCTGCTGGCTCCTCCCTCAGGGAGGCAGTAGGGTCAGCAGGACAAGCGCCATGAGAGGCTCAGCCCCATAATGGGAGACGTGGGAGACAAGGCTTCCTGGTGGAGGGCAGGGCTGTGCTGGGAGGTGGAGGGCAAGGCAGAGTCAGCAGATGCAGGGGATGGGAAGGAGGCTGCTCCCGGTGGGGGGTGGGACAGGGACAGCGTGTGCAAGGGCCAGGCAAGTAGGAGAGCTCAGCACGTGTGGAGTCCCAGGCAGGCTGAGGCTCTGGCCTTACCTGATGGGACGTCATCAGATAAAGGTAACCAGGGTCTGCTGGGTCAAACTGCATGATGTGGTGCACAGGCTCCCCATAGGCCACCGTCACCACCCGCCTGCTCACCACCTGCATGCTCTCGTTCAGACTGATCTGTGGGGGTGGCGGAAGTCAGGGTGAGGGTGCGCCAGGAGGTGCCCACAGCGGGGAGGGGCCAAACACAGGAGAACCTGACCCACGCCTGGGGCCTCCCCTATCCCGTCTCAGGCCCAGCCAGGAGTGGTGGGAAACGGCAGGCCCAGACGGGAGGGTGGTGGGTCCTGCTTCTACACCCTTGCCTCTGCTGTGCCTCACCAGGGACATCCTCCTGGCACCTCTCACTCTGTGAATATGCATGAGCTTTACAGTTCATAGACCATTCTCTGGGAGACTGTTTGGGGTCATGGCTAAGAGCAGGGACTTGGGGTTGAGTTCTGGTTTTGAGGTTTACGAGCTGTGCAAATGTCTAAGTGGCACTTCTCCCCCTCGGCCTTTTTCCTGAGCTAATGGGGCTAATGAAGGCACCTACATCTACATGAGATGTAGGCCATGCCCTGGCGGGGTGGGCCTCATCCCTCTCCTCTCACATCCATTTCACAGATGAGGAAACTGAGGCCCAAAGGGGCCAAAGGATTTGGCAAGAGTCACCATATGAAGAATCGCCAGGGCTACGATGATGTAAATCCAGGCTTGTCTGACCCAAGTTCAAGGCTGAGGCTGAGGGCTGTGGGGTGTCAAGGTTTAGGGAGGAGGAAGATCAGGACTAGCTGGGGCCTTGAAGCTTCTCAGGCTTGGAGGACCCTCTACATATCTTCCTAAGGTCTGGCAATGACCATCAAACTCTGCCCCTTCTCACCTGACCCCACTTATTCCCAAGCTTGTCCTCCCCTGAGACCTCTCAAGGCCCTGAGAGCCCTGGGTCTGAAGGTCTCAAAGTGGGGGCCAGTGGTCTAGATATCTCCCTGAGTCAGCTCCCTAGAGCTTCCTGCCCCCTCACCTTTCTCTCTCCAGGCTCCAATACCCTTAGTGACTCTCTTCTGCTTATAGAATAAATTTGTTCTGGCATTCAAGGCCCTGATGATCTGACCCTAAATTACCCATTCCCCCCAGCCTCTCCACTCACAGATTCCAGCCCCCAGGCCTTAGGGAGTATAGCACAGGCAAAGTGGGAGACCTGACCAAAGGGAGCATAGCCTTTGCCTGTGCTATGCTCCCTTCCGGAATATTCCTCTCCACTCTCCTTCTAGTAACAAGCAGATGTGGCCCAGAAGCCCGCCACACACTTTCTCTCCCCAGGCTTTGTCCCTGCCTGAGACATCCCTCCTCCCACGTGGTCTCTTGGCAGAGCCTGGCAGATCAGGCCACTGCCCCCACTTCACCTCCCACCTCCAGGTAATCAGCAGACTCTCAACTCATTTCCACTCCTTCAAACACTTATTAGGCACCTATTGTGCTCTGAGGCCTGGGCTGAGTGTTGCCATTAAACCGGGAGCAGTGACGAGGTGACAGGACAGACAGCACCCTGAGCAGGGCAGAGGGGAAGAGGTTCCAGACTGAAGCACAGGGTGGGCTCTGGGCCAGCTGGACCTGGATTCAACCCCATCTCTTGTGAGATCTAGGGGCAGTCATTTCCCCTCTCAGAGCCTCAAGGGCCACCTGTGACCTGGGGCTCACACCCCTGCCTCCCTCATTTAACCCCTGAGAATTAAATGAGATGATGCCCATGACGTGCCCGCACCCTTGGAGACCCTGGGTAGACAGTGGGTGCCTGACAACTGCCGCTTCATGGGTGGGTGTGGAGGAGGCCCTAACAAGTTCCAGGCATCCCAGCTCATCTTCCCCAGAACAGACAAGACTCAGAGGACAGAAGAAACCGCCCTTGGGTCAGAGCTGGAGTGGCAGAGCCAGGAGCCCAATTAAAGTATCCGGCCCCGTGCTTGCTTCGGCAGCACATATACCAAAATTGGAACGATACAAAGAAGATTTGCCTGACCCCTGTGCAAGGATGACATGCAAATTCATGAAGCGTTCCATATTTTTTTAAATGTGTTCTCATGTTGCAAAAAAAAAAAAGTATCTGGCCCCAAAACATGAGCTCCATGGACCACTGCCACCTCCGTCTCAGAACCTCGAACCCCAAGCCCCACCTCCTTGCTCTCCCCCACTGCTGCTGTGGGGTCCTGGGGCCAGGCCAGTGGGGACTCTAATCCCCACCCCCAGGCAGCAGGGTGTTTGCCCAGGCAGCTGAGAGGAATTGGATTATCAGATCTGAGTCAATTAGGCTGGCCTGGTGCACAAACGGAGCAGCTGACCTTCCCAACGAGGAGGGGTGAGAGGTGGCTAGGGTGGGGGTAGGAACAAGGCTTCACCTGAGGGCCCAGCCCAGACCCCAGAGGAGGGAAATCTGATTCTGTGCACCCCTTCCCAGCTTTGGAAATCTCAGAGACAGGGGCCAGGGTATTATAAAGTCCAGAAACTAGTCACTTTGGGGAGGGGTGGCTGGCAGGGTTGGGGAGGAGATACAGAGGACAGCTCTGCTTACCAGGAGGTGGTCTGTACTCCATCAAGCCCCACAAGAGCTTATAGCCCCTAACAGATGGGAAAACTGAGGCCCAGAGAGAGAAGTGTGTTGCCCAAGGTCAAAAGGCCAGCAAGTGACAGAGGAGGACACTTGGACTCAGATCCATATTGCTTCAAAGCCCCAGTCCTAGAAACCCTCACAGAAGGGCCCTCTCTGAGCCACGGACTCCCTGGTTTCCAGGCCATACCCCACTTAGGGGCAACAGTGGGGAAAACAGATGTGAAAAATGCTTTGTAAACCGTGACATGCTAGGCAGACAGGAGGAACAAAAATCAAACTGGATTTGTAGAGGTTACATGGCCTTGGCCCACTCCAGCCCGGCCTACCTTGAGAAGCCTCCCATTGACCGTGCCCAGGAAGACGGCAGTGTAGTTGTTGACGCTGGCCACGGCCACGGAGGTGAGGCCTGGGGCTCGGAACACGGGCGTGGCCTTTAGGGGCCGCAGGATGGACAGCGGGTGCTGCAGGTGGGCGGCACCACAGTCCAGCTGCTCCTGCTGCAGCTAGAAGAGGAACAGCACATCAGACCTCCTCCGTTCTCTTCTTTGGCTCCCTGCCCACACAATCCGTTAATATCTAAAACCGCGACATCAGAGCTTTCAAGTCTTGCTCCTACTTCACATTCCCAGCTCTGGGCTGAGCCCCAAACACAACTGGGACCCTTTCCACAACCCCAGGACTGGCCCAACTATCCAGAAGAGATGACATTCGAGGTACGTGTGAGGGAGGTAAGAACAGCAGTGAGGGAACAAGGTCAGTCTCGACTTTTAGGAGGTAAGGGAAGTCAGAAAGGGTGACATCTATACCCCTACGCCTTGGAGCTGACCCTCCTAGCTCATCACAACAGGCAGGGCAGAGGAGTTCAGGCAGATTATTTGAGGTCCTTGTCTGCCTTAACTTACCTGCTGACACCCAAGAGGCGTCCCTTCTGCCTTGGCTGTTTTCCTATAGCCCTGGCTGGGTCTGTGTGTCCACAGCAACCACGGGCTCTCCTCCTGCCACCCTGACCTCTGGACCACCACTCTCAGCCCCTGCAGCTCACAAGTGTCCCTATGCTGAGCCCCCATCCTTCCCCAACCACTCATCCTTCATCTGCCCACATGACAGGGGTCAAACTAAGGCCAGATGTGCCCAAGTGCTATGCCCATGTTGGCCCAGTGCTGGCCACGCCCTCCAGCCCCAGCTATTGGGATCCCAACAGCTGAGGGAGGGGACCCTGGTCCCTGGCTATTCCTGAACCTGCTCCAGCCTTCCCTGCCTTTTCCTGCATCTTGTTAGAACTTTCAAATTTCCTCACACAATTTGCACAAAAGTATAAAACAGGTCTCTAGGAAGCGCCTCTGAGATAGCACGTGTGCAAATCCACGCAAGTGCAGGCACGAGGTGGTGCAGAAGCATGAACAAGGGACCTATCCTGGTGTCTGCGGTATTGAGTATGTACATTATAGCTCAGAGTCCAGGAGAGCAGCCCCCACCCCTGGTGACACCATAAGCCCATATCAATTAAGAGAAAAGTCACCAGATGTAACGCTATTCAGGCAAAACTGGTGCATAAGTGATCATGACAGTAAACATAATAATAGGCTATGTCAATGGGAAATTACACTGCCAGTGTAATCCCAGGCCAGTGCATCAACTCTGGGAATCCTGGCAGCCCTATTAGGTGAAACTGAGGCTCAGAGGGGAAGATTGCTAGCTGCAGGGCCTGACAGCCTACATGAGCCCACACCTCAGTTATACCTGGACATCAAAGGCTCTGAGCAAGGACTCAGGGAGGCATCAGAACCATCTGTAAGGTGAAGCATCGGAGAGATTTCTCTTTTTAAATTTCTTGTCTGTGTTTTTTGCAGATCTTAACTACTGACGATGTACTCATCTGGTTGCAATGTTCAGCTGCTTTTTAAAAGACAATAAATAATGGGTTTTCTGTCTTTGGATAAATAAACATAGTTGAGGACCAGTGGGCTTCTAGGCTGGGCTCTTTCCCTGCATGTCCTGAGAGGCCAATCCCTGAGCCTGGAGTGGGACTGTGAGTGCCCTGGACCAGAACCCATGAAGGGATTGTCTTCTAATGGATGAATGTGGGAGACCTGGGCAAGTCACTTCACTTTTCTGAGCCTCAGTTTACTTAACTGTAAGATGAGTCCATCTACAGGACCTACCTGTGTAGCGGCTGGGATGAGATGATACGTTTTGTTTTGCTTTTTAGAGACAGAATCTCCCTGTGTCACCCAGGCTGCCATACAGTGGCCCTCACCACAGCCTCCAATTCCTTGGCTGAAGTGATCCTCCTAACTCAGTCTCCCGAGTAGCTGGGACCATAGGTGCACACTACCACACCCCACTTATTGTTTTTATTTTTTATAGAAATAGGGACTTCGCCTCAAGCAATCCTCCCACCTTGGCCTTCCAAGTTGCTGGGATGAGAGAATTTGTTGTAAAGTACTTACACAGTGCATGGCCCATGGTAAGTGCCCAGAAGTGTTAGCTGAGGCTATTGTGTTTCAGACATGATTCTTGCTAATATCATTATTATACAATAAAATGCCTCCAGATGGGATCCTCTCACCTGGATGGCTCTCCCAGGTCCCCTCTTGTCCCGGACATTTTCCATCCCAAATATAAGTGCCAGAGGCTGGGCGCAGTGGCTCACCCCTATAATCCTACCATTCTGGGAAGCCAAGGCAAGAGGATCACTTGAGCTCCGGAGTTTTAAGAAAGCCCATCTCTAGTAAAAATAGAAAAACTAAGCCAGGTGTTATGGTGGGAGCCTGAAGTCCCAGCTACTTAGGAGGCTGAGGCAGGAGGATCACTTTAGCCTAGGAGTTAGAGTTTGCTATGAGCTAGGCTGAGGCCACGGCACTGTTGCCTGAGCCAACAAACAAAACAAAACATAGCTGCCAAATGAGCCCTTCAAAAATGCAAAGGAACTATCCCCTGCTTAGAGCCTTCCAGCGGTTTTTCAGGACACTCAGAAAAAATTCTGAACCCTAAATCCTCCCACCTGGCTAGGTATGACCAAACTTCTGACTCTAGCCCCCTGCCCCCTCAAGGTCCACTTTGCTGGGCACCAGGCATCATGGCTGGGTCCTGTCTTTGCTGCCCCTTCTGCTTGGAGTCCACTCCCCACACTGTCACATAGTGGTCCTGCTTCTCCTTCCGCTCCAGCCCTAACCTACCTGACTTCATCCTGTGTGTGTCCAAGTTAAAGACAGCCCCGGAAAGTGGGTGTGGAGTTACCCCTCCAGCTGCAGCTCCCGGACCTGGCTCCTGCCCTGAGCAACCCTTTAGCGGCAGGGTGAAGGTGAGGTGGGCTCACTGCAGCTGGGAGGAACTTTTCCTAAGGGTTCACTAAATCTAGATTACTTGTATCACTAAAAAATAAGTTGTTTTTAAAATTTAAATTGTGATCCTTTCTCCAGGGGATATGGGTTCTGAGAAGGGAGACTGGCAGGCCTTGGATGACAACGTCGTCGGGGTTTTCTGCCCGGGGCCCTGTGATGAGGATCCCCGCCCAGCCAGGGTTGGGGGTCCTGGGAAAAGCTGGAGCAGGCGCCCAGCTGGGGTGATCCATGGGCCAGGGCAGCAGGGGGAGGAGGGAGCACGCTGGGAACGCGGCCCCCCCTTGCTGCCCGCCCTGATGTTCACAAGCCATTAATTCTGCACCGAAGGAATTTTCTAAAAAACCTTTCCCCCAACTTTTTTTTTTTTTTTGATCCTAAAAATAAAATTAAAAAAAAAATTTTTTTTAAAGGAGAAGTAAGCCATCGGCGGCTCCAGATGACATGTCTCTGATGGGGAAGCTGGCTTTCCAACTGCCAGGGGAAATCACAAGGCTGCGAAGTGGCTCAGAACAACGGAAGCCTGGCCCAGTGGGAAATGTGCCCCTTGGGGGAGGGGTATAAGTGGCCCCTTCTTGGTCCTGCAGGGGACAGGGATTTCAGAGACCTGTCCTAAGCCTGGCCTCAGCCGAACTTGGTCTCCAGGGGCAGTTAACTCCATGGGTCCAAAATACCACCCTGACCCCATCACACTGCCTGAAATTCCTCCACAAGCACCACCCTCCTCCCCGTCTGACTTAGGATGGGTCTTTCAAAACTCAAATTCCCCTGAGAGCAGGGGAGAGCTGGACTATCCCAGCAGCCCCCTCCAATCTGCAAGAGCTATTTTCTCCAGCACGAAGCTGGTCAGCCCCTCCTTGATGAAACCCGGCTCTGAATGTCCTCAGGATCAAGCACCAGCTCTCTAGTCTGGCATTCAAAGCCTTTGTGCTCCAGCTCCTCCCAACTGCTCAGGGCTCTGATCTAGGTTCTTCCCTCCACCCCACTCATTGCCCCTGCCACACCCATCTCTGCAGGTCCTCAAACATGCCCACACTTTCCTGCGGGGACCCCTGCACCTTTGTAAATGCTGTTCACCCAGCCAATGACCATTCTACCCCTCTGAGCCAATGGTACTTCCCTGGGCACTTCAGTCCTCCTTGTCTGGACCCACACTGTTTTAGGAGTGCCTAAGCAGCAAATTTTTAGACAGCCTTCAAGATGTGGCTTGAAAAAAATCTCCTCCTCCCCAGGATGGCACTGTGCTGGCCACCACTTTCACATTTATCATTATAGCATATGAATGAGCTTCTCCAGGGTGTTTACTAAATGAAACTAATTTTGACTAAAGTGTGAATGACTGTATTCAGCCACTTCCTTTGCAAGCTGAGTAACTGAGAGTAACATGGCCATGATGGGTGCTAGAGAACTGAGGGGTAACTATGGGCCACGTATGTGCTTACAGCATGTTTGGCAACACAGGGGAGGTGGGTGTTCAGGCCCAGGCAACACCTGGCTGCTAGTTTTGGTTCCTCTGAGAACCTCAGTCTATCTGTCTCTAAAGTGGGATGAACAATGGCCACTGATTTCAGCTTTTTTCTGACAGCAGGAGGCCCCCTCCCTCTCCAATTGGCTGCCTCCTGGGGCCAAAGCTCAGCTCTGCCCACTCTCACATTAAAACTCTGACATATTGATTTTACTACCAACTGTAATTGTGTTGACTTTCCCTCCCCAGGAAGCCAGGTGGAGGGAGAGAGCTTCAAGAGCTCAGACTCTCAGGCTTCACATCCTGCCCACAGACCCCACAAAGCCTCAGTCCCACCACATGTGGCACTCTGAAGAGGATTGGGCAATAATGGTGGGCACTGTGGCAGGCTGCAAAATCCAGTAGTTCCCTCCCAGGTATAGACTGCACAGCTACCATACCGGCTGTTGGGGCTTTGTACTTGAGAAGTGAGGGCACCTTCCTGCCTGGAGTTTTTGATTGTTTATGACCCCGGGAAAGTCAGGCTTTCTTGCCAGGGAGCAGAAAGCACACAATCGCTTTTGGGTATTAAGACTGCAGGGTGGCTGGCTGCAGCTCACCACGCCCTGGCCAGGGCCTGGGCTGCCTCCAGCCCCCAATGCCTCCTGAAGCACAGTCCTCTCCCATTTATCCTCCAGAGCAGATGAGGGAGCTTTTA